CACACACACACACACACACACACACACACAGAAGAAGATAAGGACCAGGCTCATTAAAATGAAAAATATATAAACACTATGGCTTCCCTACAGCAGAATATTCCATGCATATTATTACAGGCAGTAAACCTTATCCTCTCTCCTCCTTAAACAAAATGTTTCTGATAAATTTTTCTCCTATGAAACTTTTCTTGAAAAGAGATTTCCATTTTAACCACATATGGGAAAGGTACAGTGCAAACCTGCACTGTCAATTCAACCTGATGGGACTTTTTTTATGGGTTGCATTTCAGTCTCTTCCCTGTGGACAATCACAGGAAAGGCCACAGTGTGTCCCTGACCAGATGCTGTACCTGAACAGATACTACGCTCATTAAAAAAAGAGGTTATAGCCACACAGGGCCTTCCAGGCCACTTGGGAAGGTCTCACTCAGAAAGCAAAGCTCCACAAAAGAAAAAGTCACACCAGAATACCTGATGTAGATAGAATATCCCCAGCTTCCCTTGATGAAAGAATTGTAAAAATGCCCTTAAAATGTTTGTAATCAGTAGTTATTGAAAGACTCTGTCACTGACTTCCAACACTGTGAAGCTATGTCTGTGCCTTGGCCTGACACTTGGCTCTTGAAACTCACCCATTTGCAGATTTTTTTTTTTTTTTTTTTTTTTTTCCTGAGACAGGGTTTCAGTCACCCAGGCTAGAGTGTAGTGGTGCAATCACAGCTCACGGCTCACTGCAACCTCAAACTCCTGGACTTAAGTGATCTACCTGTCTCCTCTGCCTCCCAAGCAGCTGAGACGACAGGAGCAAATCACATCAGGCTAATTTTTTTTTTTTTCCTTGAGACGGAGTCTCGCTGTGCCACCCAGGCTGGAGCGCAGTGGTGCAATCTTGGCTCACTGGAGCTTCTGTCTCCCGGGTTCAAGCAATTCTCCTGTCTCAGCCTCCAGAATAGCTGGGATTACAGATGCCCACCACCATGCCCAGCTAATTTTTGTACTTTTCTCTTTTCAGTAGATAGGGGTTTTTGTCGTGTTGCCCAAAGCGATGGAATTATAGGTGTGAGCCAACAGGCCCAGTCTCCAATTTTTTATTTTTTAGGTAAAGATGTGGTTTCACTACGTTACCCAGACTGATCTCAAACTCCTGGCCTCAACCAATCCTCCCACTTTGGCCTCCCAAAGTGCTGGGGTTACGTCTGTGAGCCACCATGCCCTGCCAATCGATGATTAATTTCATTGTACAGTGGTTTTCACCTGAGTGTGGCAGTTGCTGCCCCAATAGCAGTCAGGATGGAAGGTTAGAGTCACTAGCAATTGGGAACGAGAAATGTTCTGCTGCTGACACATCAGTATCAGAAATTACATGGGCTACAATGATTCTGAAATCAGAAAATAATAATATTCCCCTCTGAAGAGCCACAAAGCTTCCAGTCAACATGTTTTTCTAGGCCAGGCATGATGGCTCCTGCCTGTAACCCCAGAACTTTGGGAGGCTGAGGTGGGCGGATCATTTGTGGTCAGGAGTTTGAGACCAGCCTGGCCAATATGGCAAAATCCTGTCTCTACTAAAAATACAAAAATTAGTCAGGTGTGGCAGCACATGCCTATAATAATCCCAGTTACTCGGGAGGCTGAGGCAGGATAATCGCTTGAACCCAGGAGGCGGAGGTTGTAGTGAGCAGAGATCGCAGGGGGCAACACCGAAACTCCATCTCAAAAAAAAAGAAAGAAGCTGGTGGCGAGCAGTAGCTCATTTTGGGAGGCTGAGGTGGGCAGATCATTTGAGGTCAGGAGTTCAAGACCAGCCTGGCTGACATGATTAAGACTCCATCTCTACTAAAAATACAAAAAAAAAAAAAAAAAAAGCCGGGTGTGGTGGTGCGTGCTTGTAATCCCAGTTACTCAGGTGGCTGAGACAGGAGAATCGCTAGAAGTTGCAGTGAGCCCAGACCATGCCACTGTACTCCAGCCTGAGAAACAGAGCTCCATCTCAAAACAAAACAAAAAATACACTTTCTACATTAAACCTCTGATTACCCGTACAGTAGTCCCTCCAAATCCACAGGGGATAATTCCAAGACCCCCAGTGGATGCCTGAAATTGCAGATAGTACTGCACCATATATATGTTTTTTCCTTAACATACATATCTATAATTTGTATGTTAGGTACAGTAAGAGATTAACAATAATAAAATAGAACAATTATAACAATATACTACAATAAAAGTTACATGAATGCGGTGTCTCTCCCACTCTCAAAATATCCTATTGTACTGTGTCAGGGCGTAACTGAAACCACAGAAAGTGAAACCAGGGAAAGTGAAACCTGTCCAGTGGTACACTCCCATTCCCACAAGAGGACATGCGGCTAGCCTTCCTCCGTGCCCAAGCGATGGGGCCTCCCCAAGGGCTGCTGCAGCAACAGCTGCTTGCCTTCTTAGGGTTGCTCCAACTGGATTCACATCTGAGATGCCAGAAATGTTGGGTGAAGACTTCAATCCCAAAGGTAGAGGCTCCAGGCGTGCCTGCCTGCTTCTGCCCCTCAATGGTTCGCACCTAGCCTTGGGCACACCTGTTTCCTCTTCTTAACAGAATTTTAAAACATCTACTTTTCTATTTTTCCCATCTGCTGACAAGAAGAAAAAAGAAAAACAGAAAAAAACAGAAATGCTGACAAGAAGTCAAAAGGATTCCAGTAAATCTAAATAGCACAGGAGCTCAAAAGTGCACCAATGACAGTCCTGCTAATGATCCAGAATCTTAAAATTCAGATAATATTCACTATTTTAAATGACAGTAGAGTCCTCTATAAAATAAAATGGTTACTTTTTTCCTAGTAGTTTAAAGGAGTAAACTTGGTTACTCAATAAGGTAGCTGTAAGAAAATATTCTCCA